GAAAATGAAATAGATCATAAAAAAGTAAAGTTTGAATGTAAATTGAAGGGGATACGATTTGACGCGAGATTCTATGATATACTCTGTGACTGCATCGAGTATGTAAATTGTTGCAAGCCATGAGTAGACGTAAACGAATGCATCTATTCCTGTGTGCGCTTCCGGAGTTGTTAAGAAAACATAAGCATACGCCTCACCAGCTATGAATGCAGCAATTACGATAAATAAAGTGAAACAGAACCACAAAAAACGGACGTATGATTTAGGCAACCGATTTTTCAATTGACGTTCAAGGAATGTCTTTTGAGCCAGCGTAAACGAATGCCGATAAGTGCTTCTATTTGTTTGCGCACGAATGACGATGAATCCCACCAATAATGGCATATTCATCGTGATGAAGGTAAGCAAGACCCACGTCAAATTGAATTTTACCAGACCGGTATATAGGTATACTATCACACCGCTAATAAGTGACAAAAGCCAGAATACGGTATAGGCGAAACAACCACCGAGCCATTTTGGCCACCAATTCAAAGAGTACAGATCGAACATTTTTGTGACCATTAAAAGTGCTATTGCATTGTAGAATCCATAGTAGAAAAATAAAAAGAACCAAAAATTGATTTCTACAGGATTATCATCATGATTTGGTAGATGAAAAATATTTATATCACTCAAAAATCCAAAGTGCTTTATTGAATTTCTTGGATCATAAATTGGGAAAGGAACAGCACACCAAGCAAGAACCTGTATAAACATTAACAAACACAATAATAAATAAAAAAAAAACCAATTTGAAAAACTCAAATTATTAATTGTAAGAAAAAAAATTCATACCACTGCTACTGGAAACACGTTCAGTATCAATGTACGTTTCCACGCAACGTGAATCCACTCTAGAACTTGTGTCTTTGCTGGCCTTATCCCAAATAAAAGGTGAGTACGTTCGTCAGGTTCTCCAGGGGAAGGAGGTGGTCGGAGTGTGTTTATGTTGGTAGGATATATTCGGAATCGACCAGGAGTAAAATGACTAGCGTCTACATACAAGGATTGAGAGACCGCCAAAATATTTTAAAGACAATAGGCCGGGAACGGTATGAAAAATTGAAACAAAAAAGCTAAAAACAACTTATATATTATTGCGCGAGATCCAGCAAAGTACGAATTCAGTAGACTGTTTTTGCTTACCATCGTATTGAGAATCTTGTTCATCACCTTGGTGTAATGTCTGAAACATATGCGTCATTTATATCAAGATAGTCTAGCTTTTGTATATAAGATTAAGGATATAAGGTATTGGAAATTCTTTTACAAAACTACTAATAGTTAATTTTGTGTATCGCTTTAGGATACTTCGTATGAACAAAAAAAAAAAAAGAAGTGTAACGATAAGCAGTACTTTTCGTCATATACAGTTGTTTAGAATCACGTGTAACATGCATTGAAATTTTATACATACGTACGTACGTACGTATAACGATAATCAGGAATGGTCTGTTTTTGTAAACTTTGGACTAAACAAAAGCCGAGTTGCTTAAGATGTAGTGTAGAGTGAGCGAGCTCCAGATCCTTAGAAATCAAGATTTACTGTATAAAAAATTTTACCTAGATTTAATATAAAGGGATTAAGATTAGATCCAAGGTTAAATTAAAAGTTGGATTTAACTTAATATATTCCAAAGCACTAATTACTAAGCCATTTTTGAGAAACAAACCTATAATATAATCAAGTATTGTGCGTAAAACTAAGATACTTAACTATTTATGTTTTAAATTTACTAAATTGTTTTTTTGGACCCTAAAAATTTATGATCGGCGTTTTAATAATTATCAAAACGCCGGTTATAATTCTTTGGGTCTATATACTGTATATATATATTTAAATTTGGCCAATACAGTACCAAAGATATATTTTTTAGAATTAGAATATTTTTTTTTAATTATCTGTATTTCAGGCAAATTGCCTGAAATTTTGAAAAGTATTTATATATACTGTATAGTGTATTTGTGTATTTAGTACCTCTTTAATTGCTAATAAGCACAATATTAAAGTACTAATAAAGATTAGAGTTTGAGTTTAAAAAGAAGTTTAACAAGAGAAATATTTTTTGTTAGTAGTATAACAGAAATTACTCCAGTAAAATTTTAAGATATAAAGAGAATATACCAAAATACACAATATATTATATAATAATTTTTTTTTTAACTCTTTAATACTGTAGTCTTATTAATATTTTTATTAAAATAATATTACAAACAAGTTTACAAACAGATTATTCACATATAGCAGGTCTAGTATTGTTTAATCTTTTATATAAATAACCGCTAATATGATCTGTTGTATCACTTTTTCAAAAGAATTAACCCTGTTAAGTGCTAATTTTTTCTTTTTTACTAAAAATCAAAAAAGGTAAAATACTTATACTTAATATATAAAAGTAACAAAATAAAAAAAAAAGCAAAAAGAATTAAAAAAAAAAAACAATCAAAAAAAAAAACAAAAAATTATAAAAAAATAAAAAAATAATAATAATAATAATATGTAAAAAAAGAAAAACAAAAAGAAAAGGCTTGTATAAAACTAATTAAAACTATAGCTAAACTAAAAAAAAAAACAAAAAAAAAACTTTTAGATTAGAAAAATATAAATATGCTATTATAATTTATACAAAATTTGTAAAAATTATATAACAATTGTAATGATTGTATATTTCTATTATAAAAGTTTAATCTAGAACCCAATTATTATTATATAAATAATATTATACTATATTAAAAAAAACATTTGTTTAAAAATAATCTTTTAGCAAGAATAAGTTTGTTTATTTTTTTTAAAAAAATTTTAAAAAGATTAGCAAAAAGTAAAAAGAAGTATTATACTATTTTTTAGAAATATATTGTTTTTTTATCTAAAATAAAATAAAACTTGTAATTTTGGTTAGTATACTAATACTTTTTTTTTAATAAGTTATAAATTTTGAGCTTGTTAGCAAGTAGTATATGAATACTACTTCTAAATAACAAATGCTATTCTTTGTAATAAGTAACAAACTCTAAGTCTAGATAGTATATAAAAACTATCTTTAATTGGTAATCTACAAGTTAACCAGAAAATAAATATAGTAAAACATAATACAAATTACTTATAGAAATTAGAGATTTGTAAATATAGTATATACTGTATATATTTAAAATTTTTTAATACTAAATTAACTACTTTTTTAACTTAAAAAGCTTATTAAAACATATCTAATAGTAGTTAAATTATCTAAATTAGCTTGGTAAATACCAAGATATTTTTAAAAAATCTTATTTTAACTATATAAATTTTTATTATTATTATAGAATAGATTTTTATTATTAGTTTCTCAAATATATAAATATTAGTATAATTACAGTATTTTATTATTGGCAATTGCTAATTTTAACCAGAGAGAAATCACCAGAGGGTGCTATATCTCAAAAATATACTAAGTAAATAAGATTGGGTATTCTAAATAAAAATGTTTAGAATCTCTAAAAACTTTACAAAAACTAAGATTGGGACTTTATATTAGT